ACTTGGTCTTTGCCACAGCTGACACTGCTGGACTCGCCTACGTGAAGTCCGAGCTGCAGAAGAGACACACGTGCACTGACCTGGGTGAACTGCGCAGCTACCTTGGCTTGCAGATCACCCGGGACAGAGCACGCCGCACCATTACCCTGACTCAGTCACACATGGTGCAGCAGGTCCTTCAGCGCTTCGGCTTCACCTTCTTCCGCCTCTGCTTCTACCCCCAACATTAGCTGAGCCGGGTAGATCCCTCTCAGCTTCCTTGCATGGTTGAAGGCCATTCGGCGCACCACAGGATCTATCTCCACCAGTATCCACTTCCGTACTCTGCATCCCGCCTTTAATGCTGCAGCTAACCCCGTTCCGATCCCTCCGAACAGCTCGACAACAGTGATTGGCTCCTGCAGGCGCGTTAGATCTGTCAGTCTTGGGGGCAGCGCCAAGGGCCGCTCGGTCCTTTCTTCTTCCGCTTTACGCGTCTCTTGCTCCAGCACGTATTGCTTCCAGGACCAATCTTCAATCTGCTCCTCCACTTGCGCCATGCGCACTCGAAAGGCTTCCCGAGGCTCGCGTCTGACAAAATGCACAGGTAGGGTGCCCACGGGTCCATCGTCCCTCTAGTACTGAGTTCGGTAGAGGACCTTCTCTTGCCAGGTGCAGATGGTGGCTCCCACACGATACAGCAGTTCCATGCCTATCAGTAAGTCAAAATCTTCCGACGGCGATATGCCGCACCGCATCCGGATTCGGCATTCGTCCTTGGTGCCCGGTTGCAGAATCACTTCCACTGGCATGCGGGTGCACGGCATCCACTTGGGCTCTCCTCCCTCTGCCGTCATCACTAGGATTCCCCGTGCAATCTGCCGGTTCGGCAGGTCTAGCTCCAGCCTCTGCGCCAAGCCTTTCCCCAGGAGGATATGATGTGCTCCGGTGTCGATGATCGCTTGCGCCACTGTCACTCCTCCCACCGTGATTGCTCCCTTTTCGATTGTCAGCACCGAAGGCTGACACACCATACGCTCCTTGGGATGTCTTTCGGACGTCATTTCTTGCTCTGGTTCCGCCGCGTACCCACGAAACTTCCTGATCCTCGGGGCGGGCAGCTCCCTCCTTTCCCTGCGATCACTCCTGAGCTCTATCTCCTCTCGCTGCCGCGGCGCCCGCACCACGAGCACAAACTCTGCTTCGCTACTCCCTTCCTCCTCCTCTCTCGCCAGCAAGGCCGCCTCCTTGTGCGCCGAACCTTCCAGCTCCCGGATGCGTGCTTGCAGCACAAGAAGTTGCGCCTCCAAGTCTTTCTCATTTCTAGGTCCCGCCGATCCTGGCCTGCGGCTGTAGCAATCAGAGGTCCGATGTCCTCGCCTCCCGCAGTTCTCGCATGTGGGGACTTCTGGACACTCCCGACGCATGTGCCCTTCCTTCTGGCAGTGATCACACCTCGGTGGCCTGCTGCAATCCCGCTGCAAATGCCCCTCCAGCCCGCACCGATGACACCGGCGCGTCTCCGCCTCCCGTGTGGCACGCCTGCTGGAGGCTTCTCCGGCTGCCACGGCCGCCCAGGCCGACCCACGTCGTCCCTCGGCCTGCATGCCGCCTCTCTCCATCTCGTATAGGCGAAGTCCCAGCTCGTGCTTCTTCGCCAGCTCGTACGCGTACTCCAGCGTCGCCGATGGTCCCATTTCGAACACCCTTCCTCGTACATCTCCGGCCACCCGCTCGTCCAGGCAGTTGAGGAATTTGGAGACCAATCTCCACTCATCCCTGCACTCCATGTCCGCCGCTAGCTCGCGCAGCCTACCGTACGTCGCCAGCAGGGATTCTCCCGACTTCCTTTTGAACGACGCGAACTCCCTCATGCGCTCTGGCGTCTGTACTGGGAAGTGGCGCTTCAGTGTGTCGAAGAACTGTGCCACTATGTCCCAGGTCACTCCGCTGGCTTGGGCCGGTTCACTCAGCATGCGTTCTAGCTCCATGCCATACGCAGTCTCCGCTTCTCCTGTCACGGTGTTCGAGAGTCCACGGAAGAAGTCTTCCGGCTCCAGCCCGTCCTTCATCCAGCGATACTGGGCATTGCGGATCTGCATCATGTAATTCTTCAGACTGCTGCCCACGCCTGGCGTGCCTGCGAAGCGCTCGGGCACCTCTATTTTGGGTAACGCGGCATACTTCACGTTGCCCGGGCGTGCCACCTCCGTCACTTGATGTTCTGACAAAGAGAGACGCCTCAAGCGCCCGAGCAGTTCGCCGTCGGTACCGCCTTCTCCTTGCGTGTTCCCCGCACGCGACGGTGACCCTCCCCTGGTGGCTCCCACCAGCGGTCTCCCCGACGAGCTCTCTCTCGCGTCCCGACCTTCGCTCGGCAGGTCACCCACGCTGTGCCTCCGATGCGGCGCCGTGTAGGCCTCTCTGCGGGCGCCGTCTTCCGCCTCGCCCGCCTGCGTCCTTTCCTCGCTTCCCGCAACATCTCCTGCACGCCATCCTGGCGTTGCCATCGCCGTCAATACCGGCGGCCGCTTGTAACACTTCCCAGAGCGTGTCTGCATGCGCTGTCCGCGGCGCTTTACTCCGGAGATTTTCTTCGGTGTATGTCAGAAAATCTCCTTCCCATTACTGGCCGACGAGCTGGTTCCCTAACGTGCTCTTGCCTGCATGTGTCTGAGTTAACAGGATCACATTGGAGCAAACGGGAAACATACACCGAAGCAGTCGAGACTAGGGTTTCAGCTCTACTATGTACAAGATTCCCTTGCTGTCCTAGCCTGGTGCTTCTTAGCAAGCAAAACATCACTTGGGCGAGGCTCGGGGTGCCGAGCCTTATTTACAAGCCGCAGGCGCTCTGAACCTGCATGGGCTCCAGCGCAAGCCCTTGCCAGCTGCAAGCTTGGCGTGCATGTTCAACTGCAGTTCTGCCACCTGTCGGCTGTGCTGTGCTGTATTCGCGTCAACAGCTCTCGCCCTGCACAGGACACAAACGAGACATACACTCACCCCAACTCATACACCCCCCCCCTAGCTCATGCATGCACTCTTAAGCAATATTTACAAATATGTACATCCAACCTACTTCCCTCCGCCCCTTTGGATTCAACTTCTCCTACCTCTTCCACTCACCCTGCTGCCACTCTTAGCGCTGTCTCGGTTACTCTGCAGCCCGCTTGGCTACATAAACCGTGACAAGGCTCCAATGTGCCTAAAACGAAAGATAGAGTGCACTGTTGGATTTCTGCACAGCGGATTCAAACGTTCATAGCGTTCTGGTCACAGCTTCAAATGACTTGATTCTACTTGGATCTAGAGTGTCGTATTGTCGCCTAAAATAGGCAATCTAGATCGCACGATTTCACCAAGTATTGAAGACAAAGCGTCAGTTTGAACGCACGGCACTATGGCAGCCACTATAGTCTTAGAACACAAGATAGGAAGAGTTAGGAAGAGTTACGAGTTGGGAATGACTCCCAGCTCCTACAAACCCCAAGAGCCGAGGTACAGTGATGTGGAACAGTGCCACACTGTCCCCAACCACGAAGGGTCTCGAAACTACCCTTCACTAGGGTCTACACCAAGTGAAATGTTACACTACACAAAGTAATGTAACTATCTTCAATTTCTTGAGGTGTACCCCTTTTGGCGAGCTTCGAAATCACTTGAAGCTTGAAACCAAGGCTCGGGTTCTTCACCACAAACTCATCCTTGCGTACTTGATGGGTCTGCTGCACACACCTGCGGCACGCCGAACGTTCGACACAGGACAAAATAGAAACTGCGCACGACAAAATAGAAACCGCGGGGGACACACAAAATGATCGCGTAACACGCGACTAGCGATAACTCGCTATTGACTCGACACACACACACACGACATCATGACCCATCATTCACACACCATTATAAGCATGAAATAAATATTTATTTCATGCCCTCATTCCATTCCATGCACATACGCATACACGCACACGGACAACAAGCCGAGTGCAAACCGTAGGGTTGCACCAACACCTCAAGCACATGGGGCGACGCTACGCCTGGCTGCAGCACATGGTGAGGCGCGGGAAGTTCGTACTGAAGTACATCCCGACCACCGAGCAGCCGGCGGACTTCCTGATGAAGGCGCTGCATTTTCCGGCCTTCAACCGGTGCTCTTTCGCCAGCGGCCAAGTTCGTCTGGCCGACGTCGGCAACGGCGACGACGAGGTGCAGCAGTAGGTGCCGTTCCCTTCTGCACGGCTGGTGCGGTGACGGCGTGCTGTGTATGGGGTGCACGCCGAGAACGAGTTTTCTCCGTGGAGTACTGCCATGTGGGCTGGAGGCCCAAGCGTGAGCGCGACAGGGGAGTGTTAACAGGAATGGAGTGTTGGCCCCGCCCTCGCTTGGGCAACGCCGACGACTTGGTCGGATGTACGGAAGTAGCAGCCGACCGTTCACAGTGGGAGAGCTGCTTGACAGGCTTCGTCGAGCTGCAGGGGACCGCTGTGGTGTTGCTGTCGATCAGGGAGCTCGACAGCTGCAACTGACTAGTCTAGGCGACGGGTGGGACGTCAACCAAGACCTGCAGCTCGACCGGGAGGTCTCCGGAGCATCCCGTCGACCCGCCATTCGACCGGGAGGTCTACGGAGCATCCCGTCGACCTGCAGTTCGACCGGGAGGTCGACGGAGCAGTCGGAAGGGGTCCGTCGACCAGGGGGTAGCTCGACGGGAGTTGTGGTCGACCGGAGGCACCTGGTGGTCGACCAGAGGGACCTGGTGGTCGGCCAGAAGCAGTGGTGTTCGACCGGAAGCACCTGGTGGTCGACCACGAAGTGCCATCTGGTGCGTGTCGGGGACAGGAAGAGGATGCTGACGCGGAACACGACGACTATGCGACCAGCGCGAACAGGCGACGCAGGACAAGACGCAGGCTCACGACGCTCTGTAAGACCTCCGGGCTGCTCAGTGTAAGGAGAAGGAGCAGGCAACGGGGAGGTTGGCTGTAACTGCGGCTGGGACTTGTGAGGCGGTGGACACATTAAGGGAGGAGTAAGGTCAGTAGAAGGCGGGAGACCAAGAACCTGCTGAAGCAGTGGAACGAAGTACGGTCGCGGCCGCACAGCACCTCCAGCACTAGTACCAACAGCACCAGTCCCTCCAGCAGCTCCAGCTCCAGCAGCATCTCTAGCGCCACCTCCAGTCGCACCTCCAGCTCCAGCAACTCCAGTACCTCCAGGAGCTCCAACTCCAGCACCACCAGCAGCTCCAACTCCAGCAGCACCTCCAGCAGCTCCAGCTCAAGCAGCACCTCCAGCAGCTCCAGCAGCACCAGTACCTCCAGGAGCTCCAGCTCCAGCACCTCCAGCACCTCCAGCTCCAGCAGCACCTCCTGTAGCTCCAAATCCAGCAGCACCTCCAGCAGCTCCAGCTCCAGCAGCACCTCCAGCAGCTCCAGTTCCTCCTGCAGCTCCAGCTCCAGTAGTACCTCCAGTAGCTCTAGCAGTACCTCCAGCAGCTCCAGCTCCAGCAGTACCTCGAGTAGCTCCAGCAATACCTCTAGCCCCAGCAGCTCCAGTACCTCCAGTACCAGCACCTCCGCGACCAGCGGCTCCACCACCTCCCGCAGCTCCATCTCAAGTAGCACCACTCTAGAGGCTCCAGCACTGAGCAAACCACTCGCGTAGCTGTAGTGGAGAGAGTGTCTTTCGACGTGATGCGACACTCAGAGGACCTCCAGAAGTCAAAGGACCCCCAGGCGCAGTACGCCCAGGCTCAGCACCCCAGGATCAGCACCCCTAGGCTCCGCACGCTCAGGCTCAGCACCCCCAAACTCAGCACCCCCAGGCTCCGCACGCTCAGGCTCAGCACAGCTAGGCCCCGCACCCGTAGGCACAACACCCCCAGACGAAGCACCTCGAGCAGCACCAGAGTCGACAGCTACCTCGACAGGCTCGACAGGGTCTACCTGGGACACACCTGAGGGAGCAGGACCCTGAGGGGGGAGGATGTCGAGCTGCGCGGGGGAGTTTCGTTCTGCTCACCTTCATGGTCATCTCGAGGTGCTGCTCGCCGGTGGTGCAGCTAGCGCTCAGGAGCTGTCGAGAGCGACTGGATGCTGGTCACCAGGCATGGCGCTTCATCATGTCGACGTACCTGGTCAGGGACGACCTGTAAATCGGGCAGCTGGAGGAGAAGATGACTCACATTCGGATGGGCGAGCCGGAGTCGGCGACGGATTACTGCAACCGTGCTCGACGAATCCTGGCTGAGATGCGGATGGAGGGCGCCAAATACTCGACGGCGTCCTACATCACCCACATCGTCAAAGGCTTGCCGCACAGCTACAATCTCATGAAGAGGATGATGATGGTGCCCGGCACGCGTGAGTCCCTCGACGAGGACTCCATCACCAGCTACATTCTTCAAGATGAGGTGATGCAGGAGGCCGAACAGCCCACAGAGCAACTTCCGCAGGCAAACTACGCTGCATCGACGAAGCTGAATCAACCGCAAGGGCAGCGCGGGAAGCCGGGCGGAGGTGGTAGCGGAGGTGGGCGGTCGACGAAGGACGTCGACGAGAAGCGGTCGACGCGGGACAAGGGTCGACGAGGTGGTGGTCGACGCCGGGAGTGCTGGATCTGTGGCGACCCCGACCATCTCTCCTTCGAGTGCTCCGACCGCGATGACAGCGACGAGGACGACAACAAGGGAGGCCGTGATCGATCGGCCAGTCATCGCCCCCGTCGAGATGAGAAGCCGCGCAAGGAGAAGCAAGCGTTGAAGAAGACGTCGTCGACGAAGGACGTCGACAGCTCCAGCGGCAAGAACCGAGGCGACGGGGAGGCGTCGTGCTCGATGGTCGGCGTCGTGGAGCCGACGGTCTCGCTGGCGCTGGAGGCTGGCGAGGACTTCCAGGCAGTGGCGGCAGATGTGCAGGCCAACCCGATGGCAGTGCTGCTCGAGAGCAGGTGCTCCCACCACCTGATGGGGACGAAGTTGGTCTTCGTCGACATGGGGCCGGGCGACGGGGTGAAGCACGTGCGTGGGTTCAACGGGGCATTGCAGCCTGTCGAGGGTCGCGGAACCGTCGCTCTGCAAGGGGAGGCCGGGAAGCGGGTCCTCATCCCCGACGTACTCTATGTTCCGGGCGTACAGGCAAACCTGCTGTCTGCTGGCCAACTGAAGGAGAGCGGAGTGCTGCTGCAGGGCGATGGCGACGAGATGCTGCTCGTCGCCGCGACCGGGGAGGTGCTCGGTCGAGCACGTTACACGTGGCGCGACACGGCGCGCGGGCAGTGTAGAGGCGCGCGGCGGCGCGGCTCGCAAGCAGGGTAGAGGCGCGCGGCGTGGCGGGCGGGCAGAGCAGGCGCGGCGACTCGACGCGAGGGCAGGGCAGGGCGCGCTGGAGCAGGCGGCGTGCGGGCAAAGCAGTGCGCGCTGTAGCAGGCGGCGCAGGGCAGGGTAGGGCATGGCAGGGGAACGCTCTTACAGTGGCGCGATAGGTGGGGTAGCGCTACTCGGTGGGCCCTAAGAGATCGGTCCTAGTCTAGGACCTGCTCTAATACCATGTCGAAAAGAACGAACGGGAATGAATGACTCGTAGTAGGATGGGTACAAATAGGAAACCCTAATTGCGTTGTACCCCATATTGGCTACCCCACTACAGCTTACACAGTAAGCAACATATAAGTTTGACAAGACAATCTCACGCCACTCGCCCAACAGTTCGCCAAGATTCTGCATGCTGCCCGCACTAGAGCCACAAAAGCAATTGAAAAAACAAATGTTATCGCTTAGCGCAACGCTGACCGCCACCGCCGCCCAGTCACGTACCAGTCAGGAGATTACGTACTGCTCGACACGCAAAACCTACGACTGCCCGACGTGCCAAAACTTCGACCCTGCTATGGTATACCGTTCCAAATCAGCCACATGATTACGCCAGTAACCGCCCATCTACTGTTGCCTACCGGCTAGTACATCAGCCCATCATTCCACGTCAGCCTGCTTAGCCCGTACATCCCAACCACATGCCAAATGCCTCGTCGCCGCCCGCCATCCATGACTCGCCCTACATCCGAGCCGATCATCGAGCCAGAAAAGATTCTGAGCCATCGGATTCGACACCCCACAGGCATCAAGAGGATTGAGTTCCTCGTTCGGTGGCAGGACCGCACGCCAACTGAGGATAGTTGGGTGTCCCTGGCCAACATTAAAAACCACCCTGCCCTGCAAGTGTATCTGAGGAGCCGGGGTTTCCGCGATATACACGCACTCGCGTAGTGGAGGGGCCTTCGAGGGGGGCGGGGTAGTGTAAGGAATTTCCATACCGCGGCCTGCAGCATCGCGTACAGCAGCAGCCGTTGTTCGCCCGTTACTGCTAACGGGGCTTCGCCAACTTCGCGCGCACTATTTCACCAAACCTCGCACTGCTGGCCCGGCCGAGTCGGCCTACGCTTCGGGACTAGCCCGAACCTCGCTGCCAGCGTAGCACTAGCTAGCTCGCATGCACCGCGTTACCGTTAGCATGTTTGGAGTATAAATGTTTACTCATTCCTTCGCTCACATTTTGTACTCATTTGACACTCTAGTGCAATCCTCGCTACCTCGATCCATTGCACCCGTAACACACTTGCAGTTTTGAGGAACAAAGGCGGTGTTTTCCATGACCACGTTATAGTCGAGGGGCGGGGGATGGGCGAGGGCTCCCGAAGGTGCGCACGAAGTTGCGAACTACGTCCAGGGGGGCTCGCCCTCTACAAAAATTTCGCCAATGGGATCGAGAAGGGGGACAAGGGGATCTAGCACCTGCCTTCCCCCTTCCTTTAGGGGGGAATTATTTCCAGGAAGGGGATGCACCTTCGAAATTAGTGGTATGCACGAGGAAGAGGTGAGGGATGGGATGGGAATCATAGCTGGCAGGGCCGGAAACTGCCATACGCATTCTGGATCCCCCGCCCCAACCCATATAAGTGGGTGTTCGCCACGACAGCGAGCCCACCGTGGTTCGGAGGGGATCGTCAGGTTCAACATGATTTTGTCAGTCTGACCTGCCCCAAAACCCTGATTTCAGCCCTTTAATGGCGTGTGCAAAGTGCTGCAAAAATTCGACGTCGAGGCAGCAACAGCAGCGTCCCAGCGAGACCCCGTCGCCCCAGCAGCTCCGTGAGTGGTACTCTCAGCGTGGGGGATCTGGGGGTGGAGGTACCTGCCCGTACGTCATCCGCACAGGTGACCACACTGGCCAGACCTGTGGGAGATTTCACACGGCGCAGCGCTGCTTCTTTCGTCTCGACGATGCCTAGCGCGAGAAGTTCCCTGACGCCTCTGAGCTGCCCCGCTGGGCTGATCTGCTTAAAAAGAACATTGATATCTTTGCTCTTGATTTTGATTTTATCCTTGGTGCTATGTATGCATTGACTATTAGTGTTGAGGGTGACTGTTACCTACGTGTACCGCCCGACCCGGGTATTGGGACCAGTGAGGCTGCTGCTCTAGGTGCTAGTGCGTCTGCTGCCCCAGGTCCTGGTGAGGCTGCTGCTCTCGGTGCTAGTGAGTCTGCTGCTCCAGGTGCTCGTGCGTCTGCGCCTGCTGGTACTGCGTCTATTGAGGCAATGCACACCTTCATACTGGAATCGGGTGCATCCCGCTGTTACTTTCGTAACCGCACTGTCCTTGAGCAGCTAGCTCAGCCTTTTGCTGTCCCCCTCGCTGACCCCTCTGGGGGCTCGGTCCTTGCGACCTCCTCCACTGTCCTCCCTTGTCCTGCGTTTCCGGCCAGCACCCTGTCGGGTCTACCTCCCCTCGTTCTCTACGAACTTGGTGGCGGGCTCTTCTCTCCAGGACCGGGGTGTTCACCAGCTCACCCCTGCCTATGAGCGTGTGACCCACTGTGTGTGTGCTCAGACGGGTCGCCACCTGGCTACCTTCATTTGGCAGCCAGGGTCGGACCTGTACACACTGACCACTGAGTCCCCTCAGGTAGCTGCGTCTTCGTCTGCGTCAGGTCAGCTGTCGGCCCCCTGCTCGTGTCGCACCCTGTCGCACCAGACCGTCCACTGGCACCACTGCCTTGGTCACCCCTCAGTGCAGCGCCTTCGTGGCATGCACTCCCGGAACCTTGTCTCTAGTCTTCCCAGGGTTCTCCCTCCCCTCCCACCCTCGCATGCTCCACCCTGTCTACCCTGTGTCGAGGGGCGGCAGCGCGCCACTCCTCACTCCTCCTCGTTCCCTCCCACAGAGGCTCCCCTGCAGACTCTCCACCTGGACGTGAGGGGCCCAGCCCGCGTCCATGGACAGGGCCAAGAGCGATACTTCCTGCTGGTCGTCGACGACTACACGCGCTACACCACGGTCTTCCCCTTGCGCACCAAGGGTGAGGTCCCTGATGTTTTGATCCCTTGGATCCGCGCTGCTCGTCTCCAGCCCCGCAAGCGGTTCCAGTCGGACTTTCCTCTCCTGCGTCTGCACTCTGACAGGGGTGGTGAGTTTTCCTCCGACCTCTTGGCAGCCTACTGTGCGGAGCACGGCATTCACCAGACTTTCACGCTTCCGGCCTCTCCACAGCATAATGGGGTTGCTGAGCGCCGCATTAGCTTAGTCATGGAGGTCGCTTGTACTTCCATGATCCATGCGGTTGCCCCCCATTTCCTGTGGCCGTTTGCAGTGTAGTACGCTGCGCATCAGCTCAACCTCTGGCCCCGTGTCTCTGCTCCGGAGACCTCGCCCACACTGCGTTGGACGGGGGAGGTTGGCAATGCGTCTGTGTTCCGGGTCTGGGGATGTCGAGCCTTTGTCCGCGATATGTCCGCAGACAAGCTCTCCTCCCGTGCCGTTCCCTGTGTCTTCCTTGGCTTTGTCCCTAACGCGCCAAGCTGGCAGTTTTACCACCCCACCTCGCGCCGTGTCTTCCCCTCTCAGGACGTCACTTTTGACGAGTTGGTACCCTTTTACCGTCTGTTCCCCTACCGCACTGCGCCGCTTCCCCCCCCGCCTCTCTTCCTCACCCCAAGTGTCCCTTCGGTAGACCCCCTCCCTCCCCAGGGTC